AAGAAAGAAAGAAAGAAAGAAAGAAAGAAAAAGAAAGGAAAGAAAGAGAGAGAGAGAGACAGGAAGGAAGGAAGGAAGGGAGGGAAAAAAAGGAAGCAGGAGGGAGGGAGACAGGAAGGCGTGAGAGCAGCCTTCCAATATTTGAGGGGCTGCCCCAAGGAAGAGGCAGTCAAGCTATTCTCCAAATGCACCTGAAGGCAGAATCAGATAGAAACTGATCCAGGAGAGAAGCAACCTAGAACTAAGGAGAAATTTCCTGACAGTGACAACAATTAACCAGCGGAACTGCTTGCCACTAGAAGTTGCGGGCGGCTCCATCACTGGAGGTTTCTAAGAAGACACTGGATTGAAGCGGCCTGCTTGAGCGGGGTGGTGGTGGGGGGGGGTTGGACTAGAAGACCTCCCAAGTCCCCTTCCAACTAACATTCTTCCGTTCCACCCTCTCTGACTAATAATGATGGCTTCTGGCTTCGCTTCTCCCCACGCAGCTACTTCGCCGTCTGCTTTTACCTGACGATGCTGGTCATGGTGGAAGGTTTCGGAGGGCAGGAAGCCTTGCTGGAGGCCTTGAAGGACACCCCCATGCTGATCCGGACAGGCCCTTGCTGCTGTTGCTGCCTCTGTTGTCCCCCCATCACCATGACCAGGTGAGTGGAAAGCGGGAGAGGTGTGTGAGGACCCAGGGTGGGCTCCAAAATAAACACAGTCACACACACAAAAAAGGCGAAGCCCCTTTTATTCCTTCACTTGGCTTCCAAGTTCCAAATATCCTTGACTGGAGACCAAAAAAACAACTCCCCCACATGCAGTTACAAGAAGGAGGAAATGCCATTTAAATTAGAAATGTTCTATATTAACATTTAACAATAAAGAATAAAAAACAACACAAACCAGGCAAGATAAAGGCTTGAAGACGTCCACAGATATCGGAACACACACTGGGAAGGATGCCAAACTCAGAGAGGAACCATAAACCAGAGACATTTCCATGCTTTTTTTCCAGCACTGGCCCGTCCGCACGTCCGTCCTCTTATTCAGTTGTCACAGCTGCAGCCCATGAAGGGGATCAGGGCCCCTTCCTTCCCCGTAGACCACGCCATTCTTGTTTCTCCCTTATCTGTTCCTCCCTGCGTGCCCTAGGATGAAGAGTGGATGGGCCTGGGTCCTCGTCTGATTGCTCAGCCGGCCTCTGCCCTTCCCCAGTTTCCTCCCCAACCTCCGGAGCCACACTCCCACTCCCTGTCGGCTGTTCCTCCTCTCCCTCGGAGTCAGATTCTAGCAGGGGCATGACAAGGTGTCTGCATCCCAAGCAGGGTCTGGCCTTCAAAAATTTCAGCGATCGGTCCTCTGCCCGGTTGTTGGGTGGGCGTGGCCATGGTGGGCGTGGCTAGTTGGCCTTCGGCACCACGGCCGGGAAGTGGGGCCGTGCTTTTCCCCTCCCCGGACTCCAGAGTCTTTCCCCCAATAAGGAAAGTCCTCGGGGAAGCCGGAATCACTAAACGACGGGTTTAACTAACTGATCAACGGCAGGGATTCTGTGATGACCCGGGGCGTGACACAGAAATACCCAAGGCACAAAAATAGAATAAAGTTCCTTGAATGCCTCCAACCAGGCTCCAATGTCTAATTATCCTTGGCTGGAAATCAAACTCGTAAAGAAAACAGTTTACGGAGGGAGTAAGTGCAGTCCGCACCCAAAGTAAAGTTAATTAGAAATAACAAAACCCAACACGAACCACACTGAAGGAATTACTATACCAGGCAAGGATGATTAATTGCAGACTTCTGCCAGATAGCGCAGCCACCACAGTTGGGAGGAAGCCAAAACACAGATAAGCTCCAACAAGAATATTTCACGCTTTGCTTCCAGCACTCGGCCATGCGCAGTTTGTCCTTTTAAACAGTCCTCCCAGCTGCAAGGCCATGAAGGGGATCAGGGCCCCTTCCTCCCCCGCAAGCCACGTTGCTCCCTTCTCCGTTCCTCCCTGCGTGCCCTAGGATGAAGAGGGGATGAGCCTGGGTCTTCCTCTGCCTGCCCAGCCGGCCTGTGCCCTTCCCCAGTTTCCTCCACAACCTCCGGAGCCACACTCCCACTCCCTGTCGGCTGTTCCTCCTCTCCCTCGGAGTCAGACTCCAACAGGGGCATGACAGATTCGGAGACAAGAACGGTCGTAAAAGGGAGCGAAATTTACTCCACAAGCATCTCACTTAATGAAGGAAATCCTGGGCTCGTTGTGGCCGTAACTCAAGGACTACCTGTAGTCCGGTGGCTAGAGGTTTAATCCAAGGATAATGGACTGGTTTCCTTCTATCCTTTCCAGACGGAAACTCCGGTTAATGCTGCTGGGAGCCTTCCAATACACCTTCCTTAAAGTATCCTGCACTTTCCTGGGCCTCGTTTTAAGCGTCGAAGGCTTGTACGACACGGCCGACGTAAGTGGCGTTCCGGGCCCTCGTGGGAGGGAGGGAGGGACGCAGCGAAGCATCCTTCCTCCTTCTGCCTCTTCAGGGAAGAACAGAAGAAGAGTAGAAAAGAAGAATAGAAGAAAAGAAAAAAAACCACCCAAGGTCCTCTTAGCGCTTTTCTTCCTAACAGGGAGGATTTTAAGAGGTGGTTTTCTTGGAGATGTTTTATGACCCAACTAGAGAACGTAGTCCGTGCTAGAAGGGAGTGGGGTTTGCAGAGGGGGGGGGAGGAGGAGGAGGAGGAGGAGGAGGAGG